GGTGTACGGGGGTCTAGGATGGGTATTCCCACCAGGATGTGAAGAGAAGAGCAGGTAAAGGCCGTTTTCCCCTGCTCACGCTGTGACCACCAACCTTGCACCCAGGACTGGCATCGGTGCCAGAGCTTGGGGACAGAGGTGTGACCTATGGCACCGTGCCCTATAGCGTGGGGTGGGAGCACAAGCACCTTGCGCCCCAACAGGGCATCCCCTTCCCAACCTTCCTGGCTGCGACCAGACGCCAGGGTGAGGGGCAGCACCCCAGAGGGGAGCCAGAGGAAGGAGCAGGAGAGCGCAGATTAAACCTAACGCTTCCCCCTTCCCTCGAGCTGCCCCCAGCCTGCAGCCCTGCGCTGTCAGGAAGCCATCAACCACCCTGCGCCCCACAGACACCCCCCCACCACCAGCAGCCTGGCCCCCTTCCAAAGCCACTGTCTCCACTGTAATGCTCCCTTGCCCTGCAGCCAACACACAGACACACACACACGTGTGCGCTCGCACCCAGCTCCCCCCCGTTACACATACCCCGGGAGTGCACGCGTGTGCACGCACACACTTGCACAGGGCCCATGGGGACGTGCACACGCACGTGCACCCTGCAAGGGGGATGAGCACGGTCAGCGCTCGCACCAGCGCGGCGCGCTTGGGTTGTGCAACACACGCGGATGGGGGCCCCCCATATACACACACACACACACACACCCCGGTGCCGCCGTCACACCCAGCACCTCCCCACTGGTGCCAAGCACACAGGCAGCCTGGCGCACGCTCGCACACCCACAAACCACACGGGCTCACCCCGGTGCGCACGCGCGCGCTCGCAGGAAGAGACATGGGCTTCCCGCTGCGCTTTTCCCTCCATTAACTCCCTCCGTGGATCCCAATGGGCACGCACATGGCACCCCGGCACCCACCCCTGCGCCCCTTCGCCATGGGTCGATGGTGGAGGAGGAGGAGGAAGAGAGCCGGGCACTCTCCCTCGCTGCTCCAAAGGGCTGGCAATGGGTTGAACCCAAGGGTTTGGGGACAGCAGCAGGGCGCTGGCAAAGGCTCCACCATGCAAAGCAGTGCGTTGGACAAGGTGAACCGGCAGGCCCCAGGGCGAAGGGCAAGGCAGGGAAGAGCCAGGATGGAGCACAGCAATAAACACGGCGGCAGACGATGGGCCGGGCGAGACGCCGAGGCATCACCCTGATGCGGTGCCAAGGGGATGCATCCACGGGCTTGGGAAGTAACACGGACCCTTCTGGGTACCCAGGAGCATGGGTTAATACAAGAGCTGCCTGCTCAGGGGCAGCGGTGTGTGGGTAAACTGAGGCACAGCCCTGCGGTGCTCGGCTTGGCGTGTGTACCATGCCAAGGGCACTGCTGAGCCCCCCCGTACCCCAGTGCCCTGCCAGCCCATGGGATGGGCTCCCCTCCGTATAACAACCCAAAGGGTGTTGGTGGCAGTGTGGAACACAGGGATCAAGCACCTCAACGCCAGACCTTGAGTCTGCAGCACCCAGTGGGTCTCATCCCCACTGCCATCAGCCTGCTGGATCCCAGCTCCAGGGGAACCACCATCCTCACGCTGTGGGGCCCCACAACCACCACACAATGGGGAACCACATCCTAAGGTGACCTCTGACCCCACACCCAGGTCCCCCAACCCCAGGGTGACCTTCACCCTTCCCACGATGGGTCCCCCAAACCAATGGCTACCCCCATACCACACACTGCAGGGTTCCCCAAGCTCGGGGTGACCTCCATCCCCTAAACAATAGCGTCGCTCAAGCTCAGGGTGACCTCAGACCATAAGCCAAGGGGAACCCCAACTTCAGGGTGACCTCAGTCCCCCAGACAATGAGGTCCCCAGTCCCAGGGTGACCTTGTCCCTTACACCATAGCCCCCCCCCCCATGCCCAGAGTGACCTCTGCCCCCCACACAACAGGATACCCCAACTCCAGGGTGACCTCCATCCCCACACCATGGGGCCCCCCAAACCCAGCACGACCTCTGTCCACTACACCATGTTGCCCCCCACCTCCAGGGTCACCTCCATCCCTACACCACGGGGTCCCCAAACCCCGGGGGTGACCTCTGCCCCCCATATATAACCCTCCCAACCAGCAACAGAGGCAACGGCGCCGAGCTGGAGCCTGCGGGCAGCCCATCAGCCCCATCGCACCCCCCCAAGCACAGCCCCACCACCGCAGCCCCCACAACCGGGGGACAACCCCGGTTCCCCCCCCGCCTCACTTCTCCTCCTCTCCCGGGATGGGGGTACCGGTGATGGGGGGGGGGGGGGTGTCAGCACTCACCCGCGGGCCGCGCCGTCCAGCGGGGGCTGCGCTCGTCCATGGGCAGAGCGGAGCGGGGCGCGGAGCCGAGCCGAGCCGAGCCGAGCCGTGCCTAACCCCGCCGCTTCCTGCTTCCCTCGGCGCCCGCCCGCCGCCCCGGGAGCCGCACGGCTGGAGCGTGACTCACCGGGGGCCGGGCCGGGCAGGGCAGGGCCCCGACGGGGCGGGAGTGGGGTGGGAGGGGGGGGGGGGGACGGACGGACGGGGACGGGCGGTTGGTACCGTCCCCACAATGGGAGGGAGCAAAGAGCGGGGGCACCTAAAAGGGATGATGGGGAAGGAAAGGGGGGACCCCACCAGAGTGGGGGTCGTGGCGCACAGAGAGTGGGGGAACCCCCCACGATGGGGTGGGGGTGAAGCGCTGGAGCAAGGGAAAGTGTTGCCAAGAACTGGGGTGATGGGGTGACAGCGCTGACCACAATACAGAGGAATCCCTTCACAGTGAAGAGGTGGGGGTGTCTGTGTCAGGCCCCCCCCAACTGGGGTTAAGAGACTGGAGCGGCATCTGGCCCTTTGACTCCCATCCCAAACCTCCTTGACACTCCAAATAGGGTTTGGGACACAGGGTCCTGGTGTCTGGGCCCCGATCCTTAGTCCAGACCCTATGGAGATTAAGGGGGGACAGTCCCCTCCATGCACCCCAATGCCCCACGCACTCCATGCACCAGGAATGGTCAGGAATGTCCCATCCCATGTGGAATGCAGTGGTCACCCCTGTGCCGCTCCAACAGCACCCCACGGACTTCAGGTTTGGAGCCACCAGTGAAAGGAGCGGGGTAGGGCTCAGCCCAGCTGCAAGCAGAGGAGGTTGCCAAGCATGTACCGGCCATAAGAATCCATCCCATGTGCCGGACAGGCTCCAACACGCTGGACCCCGACCATCCCCAGGCAGAGGGGAGGAATGTGATCCCAGCTCTGCTGGCCATGAACTTGCATCTCCGTGGGAGGAGATGCAGCCACAACAGGGACACCCAGGCATTCCCAAGCAAGCTGCCACTCACATGAACACACAAACCCACCCACCCGAGCCCCTTCACAGCTCACCCTCGCCTCTCCATCCTCCTCCTCCTCTTCCTCCAACAGCCTCCCGCAGCCCTCCCTGCCGTCAGCATGTTCTCTGCCCCCCCCCTCCATCTCCCTTTTCCCGTTCTATTTTAAATTTTTATTGCATTCTTTTTAAGGAATACGGAGGAACAAATGCCCTTATCAGCAATTCTCACAAGGTATAAAGAGGCGCTTTTATCTCCCTGCCTTTACTAATCTAGAGCGAGCCAATGCCTGTTAATTTTTTAATTTTCCTAGTGAATGCATTTGTGGCTTTGTCAGCATCCGCACGCACGCTTCCCCTCCGCATCCCAGCACGATGACCCCGGCATGGGATCGCTGCCGTGCATGGTAAGCGTGGCCCACGGTTTTCGCAACCACGAAGGAGTCTGTGAGCCGGTTCATCCTCGTGTGTCACGCAAGGCTCGCAGGGACACCCTGGGATGTGCCACGGGCTGGGAAGACCCAATATGGAGTGGTACCCGAGGGATCACAGCCCTGCTCTGCCTGGCCATAGCACAGGCAGGGAGCGCGGAAGGGGCGATGCGAGAGCGGGTCTGCATCCTCAGCATGGGGATGGGTTCCTGCGCCAAACCATCACCATCACCCGCTCTGATGAGGTCCCTATGGGGGACAAGGAGGGTTTCACCCCCGTCCCCCCTCCCAGGGAAGGAAGGGCAGGCACAGGCTGCTCGCACACCAGGGCTGGGAGCGCCGGCAGCCGGCCGCGGTGCGCAGATGAGATGTGGCAGGCGTGTAACAAGCCATTAGTCACTGTCACCTTTGCCCGGCAGCCACTGGCAGGGTAATAAATCCCGAGCCGACTCCGGCAGGCCCGTTCCAGGCCACGGCTCCCAGCTTGCTTCCGCGACGCTGTGAGCAGCTTGCAAATGCATCCCGGCCCCTTGACCCCCATCTCCCCTGCAGGGAGGCGGGGGGGGACGGGGGACGGGACAGGACACACAGCGCCTTGCAGGGTCCCAAACCCTGTGGGGCTGATCCACGGTCACCACAGGGCACCGTGTCCCCAGGTAGCACCCTTCCTTATGGACACAGGGAGTCACAAATCACCCCACTCATGCACGCCCCAGTTCCCTGCACGCCCTGGTTCCCTGCACGCCCCAGCTCCCTGCCCGCTGCACCTTGCGGTTCCGGCTCTCCCCAGCCCAACGCCAGGATCTGGCCTCGGCGGTTGGTGCCGGATCAAAGCAGCCTGGCGTGGCACGGCACGGCACGGCGCGCCCGCCGGGAAGGGCTGGCAAACCAGCCGGTCCGGGGAGGCAGCAGGCGGGAAGCACGCATGATACCTCTCCCAAAAAATGCTGCCGCTCCTGACGGACGGGGAGGCCGAGTCCCGGGAGCCGCGGCACAGCCCAGCCTTGGGGCCACCCCCCCAGCTCCCCACTGCGGCCAGCCCAGCACCGCGGCTGTCCCCGGTACCCATGGCCTGACTCACAGCCCCGGGGATGATGGGCAGGGACGGAGGTGCTGTCAGGGTCACCTCCCTCGTAGGGGTTTTGGAGCCCCAAACCACGGCGGCGCACAGTGGGAATGATGTGCACCAAGGGACAGCCCTCGGGGATGACATCCCCGCAGCCCTCAGCATCACCTACTTGTGGTTCCGACGTCGATGCCCTCCGCGTCCAAAGCCGTCCGCTGGCCGATGTCCAGGGCAGTGCCACCACCGGTCCCTGGGCTTTCCCCAGTGCTGCTCACCCGGTGCCGGGGCTCACCAGCCACAGGCTTGATGGCGACTGTCTCAAGGGACGACGATGACGCCTGGAATAGAAGCAGGACAGAGACTGAGCGCCTTTCCCTTCCCTTGGGGAGCACGGGGCCTGGGGGACCGCGGAGCACAGACACAAGATGCTTTTGTTTTGCTGCCGGCCGGTGCACGTGGCCGGCGCGGGGAGCCGCACGCCAGCCCGCGCCGTGGGGCTACAGCTGGATCCGGCCGGTGGCTCCCAGACAAGAAAGGCTGGAGCAGGGAAGGGAGAGGACATGAATCAAAACGGCGTCCCCTTGCTCGCCGGCAGCAGCTGGCCGGTTAGGCAGCTCCTGATTACTCAACTGGGCAGTGTTTATACTCCACATCAACACCACCCCTCCATTGCCTTCCCTGCTGGGAGAGGGGAGGAAAAACGTGCTGCAGGGATGGGGATGGTGTTGGCACCGCTTTGAGGTCGGGTTAGGGACGGTCCCCAGCGCCCTGACCCCCCCCCCCCCCCCCCCCCCGGGTGCTGCTGTGGTTTTGTGTTTAGCAGTAGCTGTCACCGCACAGGTACACAGCGTGGGCTGTCACCTTTAATAAAGCAACAATCAGCATCCCAGCATCACCACGCTGCTCTGGGACAGGCACAGGGACAAGCCTGCATAGCAGGAAGAGGGTGACCTCCCTTCCTACCATAGGGGACATCCATAGGATATGCCATGCTCCTGATTGCAGGGCATTAGCACCAGGGCTGCAGCACAGTAAGGATTTTATGTTGATCCCATTTTCCTTTGGGATTAGTCCTCTAAATGCGGAGAGCCGAAGCGAGATGGATGGTAGGTGCGTTTTGTGCTGGGAAGCCCTTTAGACTCAATGAGCCACGCACAAGAGCGGACGTATAAATTTGCCATTTGCTTCCTGGAAAGGTTTAATTTATGGAGTCCATATGGCAGCGCCGCACAACCGCGAGCACTCGGCACATCCCGCGAGTCCTCGAGTGCCACCAGGTCCCAGCTCCAACTGGCGAGGTGCCACCAGCTGCCCCGGACATGGCAGGATGCTCTTCTCTTCCCCGGTGATTAACACAAGGGGACAGCAAGCAAGGGACAAGCCCAGGGACCAGTCCCCATCCCCAAATGCTTAGCGTGGCATCCTTGGAGATAGCAGGGTCCCAGTGGGAATGCCGTGCCAGCGCTCCTCCTCCAAGGGTGATGCCACAGGCAGCAGCAGGCAGCAATCCCCTACCTGTGGACATGGGAAAGGGCTGGGGTGCACTTTGATACCCAGAGCAACTAATCATTAATTAGCGCTAATCATCCCCCGTCATGCACCACGGCAGCACCGGGCAAGTCAACAAGCAATGGGGTTGTGGTGGGGAAGGGTGGATTTTGGCTCCCCATGGAGACCCACAGCCCCCCAGGCCCCAAGCCACCCATCAGCCCCATGGCGGTGGCCCCCTATTTTCCTTCTGGGGGATGCTGAGATGGGTCCTACCGGCCCAAGGAGCATCCCCTCTCCCTATTTGTATCCCCCAGGAACCCCCCAGGCAGCAGCCGGAGACAGCACCGAGCACCGGCCACCTCCTTGCTTTAACTTCATCCCGCGCTATCTGTCAGCAAATCATCCCCGGCTACACAGATAAGGAATAATTGATGCAAAGGAGCCATCTGTTTGCGAACACGGAATATCTGCTCAATTAGGAGGGATCTGTCCACCCAGATAAAGCATCGCAGCAGCCTCTCAGAGCCAAGGGGGGGGGTCTTCTTCCCCATCTATGTCCTCAAAGACTCACCCCCAATTAGAGGTGAGCGGGTTGATTTGGGTGCTAATTTGCTAAGCAGCACTCCGAAGGGCTCGGGCAGAGGCCAGGAGGGAAGGGTGCTCTGCCACCAAGCACTGGAATTGAATGGAAGGGATGGCAGCACCCTTGTGTCCCACTGTGGTGATGCTCAGCCCATCCTGGGCTGATGCATCCCTGTGGATGGAGAGAGGGGACAAGCAAATGTGCCTGGGAATGGCACTGAGCTGAGGCCATCCTGCTCATTGCATGGTGGCTGCCTGCAGAGACACGCACAGGGAGCCCTGCACACAGGCAGAAGGACTCAAGGACAAGCCTACAACAGCTCACAGCACACACCGGCATGCACAGCCTTGACAGGGACCAGGGCCACAGGGCACAGCCCCGGGCAGCATCCAGGGTGCAGCAAGGTGACATCAATGTGACATCGCTCTGTGCTGTTATTAACAGGGGAAAAAATGAGCTGGCATGCAGGTCAGGATGGCAACAGAGGGGAGGTGGGCAGGGAGGGCAGGGCAGCTCCAGAGGTGACAAAAACAAGGGAGAAAAGGCTCCAATCAGAGCTGCCCCACAGCATGGCGCTCCCTCCAACCCCACTGCATGGCATCTGCCTCTGTCTACCCCATCAGGCCCTTGATGTAAAGGATGTGGAGAGCTCGAGGTGGGTCAGAACACAGACGGTGGCCTTAAGGGACAGGCACAGAAGCACTGCCAGATTGTGTGTCACCCGTGCCCCCCATCACTGGCACAGCAGCACCATGGTGCCCCATGTGCCCTCGGGTCAGTGCCCAGGGCAGCAGCTTGCAGTCAGGGGACACGACGGCAGCAAGGGCAGGGAATGGTGTCCCCAGGTCTGTCCTTCCCTGCCAAGGGCGCATTCCTTCTGCTCCCATCACTGGGATAATACCTGCTGTGGAACTCGGCTTGGCTCTCCCCCCTGGCCCTGGCTTTGGGACGGTGGTGACGGAGCAGGAAAGCAAAGGGCTGTGGCAGCTCTCTGGTGAGGGATCCGGCACGCAGGCAGCCACACCGGCGTGTTTCCTGTGCCTTCGGGACACCAGAAAACACTCTTCCCCATTCCACCTCCCCTGCGCCTTGCCTGACGCTGGGGCAGGCTGCAGCGTGCGCACCGGCAGTGCTGCCCATGGGGATGCTACCCACAGGGATGCTGCCCACGGGGATGCTGCCTATGACAAAGCCCCCCCCCCACTCCATCAGCATCATGCCCATGCAGCCCAAACCTCCATCCTTCCAGGTGGCAGCACCCTGGAAAACCCCCAAGCTCCCAGCAGCCAGGCACTGAAATGGATGCGGTCATGGTTCTTCACCTCTTGGCTGGCATCACCCCAGCAAGCACCGGCACAGCTGCACCAAGCGATGGGTTTTGGCACAGCCACACCTCCCATACGCAAGCAAGGGATGAGGTGGGGAGGGTGCTCAGCACAGAGGGGCCGCATCCTGCACCTCAGGGGGATGCAAAGAGCCTCAGCATGGGGGCAGCAGCACACCCCAGCACCCAGCTGCAAGGCTTGTGCGGGGATGAACCATCCCTGCCTTCCAGCCCCGGCATTCCCCAGGCCTCTGAGGCAGCACTTGAAATAAAAGGTGGTTTTGGAGTGCTTTGGGCTGCAGGGAGCAGGCTCCCCCCGGCTCCCTTTGTTGCTGAGGCCACTGAGCCCCCTGGCTCCCGCTGGGGCTTTATCACCACCACCGCAGGCACAGAGCCTGCTGTGTGTTCACCCAAGTGCTTTCAGCTGCTCTTCCCTCCAGGAATCCTTTGCTTTCCCCCTCCTCCTCCTCCTCCTCGTCCAGGTGGCCTGAATCCAGAGGGTTTTCCCCCCCAAAAGCAGGCTGTTCCCAGAGACCTGGCACAGCGGGGGTCTCTGTCACCGCAATGGGAGCCCACAAGAGGGGTGGTGGCTGGATCCGCGCATCCCCACCGCTGCCACCGTGTTTAAAAGTTTCTCAGCCGTGTTTGCAGGCGGAAAGTTGGAACCTGCAATTACAGCTGTGCTAACCCCTCATTAAAAACAGGAGGGGGGGGAGAGCAAAAATGGGAAAGAAACAAAAGCCTCCAGAGGACACGCACACGGTGCCGTTAACCCTTCCTAAACTGGGGATGTGCCCAACGCAGGTGGCCCCATGCAAAACCGGTAACGGCACCAAGGATGCTTCGCAGCGGGGACGGCGGTGACCCCATGCGCCCATCCATGCCAACCCACGGGGCATCACTGCCCGTCCGGCTCCATGCCCCGGGTCCTGGTGCCGTCGGCGCCCGCGTGGGCACGGCTGCGGCGGTGCCGGAGCCGTTTGTCACGGCGGGGCTGCGGTTGCTGCTGGCTCTCCAGCAGCGACACCGTGACGCCTGCTGCAGGAGCCCACACAATATGTTCGCACTCATCTCGCAGCTGCCCCCAGACAGCCCGAGGTGCCGCGCTCCTCCCCGGCGCGGGGGCCGCGCTGTGCCGGCATCGCCGCGGCGAGCCCAGGAAGGCAGGAGGGCACCGGCACTGGGTGCCACATGGGGAGGGCATAGTGGGAACACCGCCCGCACTGGGGTGGGATACGCTGGTTCCCCCCCCACCCCTCCATTCCCGAGCCTGGGGAACACAAGGCGGGGATCCCCGTATCACTGCAGCCCACCCTACACCGCGCCGCTCAACGCTGCTTTAGGGATGGAGTGTGGCAGCCCCCTGGAGCCCGGCCCCAGCAAGGGCCTGACCCATATTCCCCCTCCTTGTGCCCCTATCCCCGGGGAGCAGCGGGTTCTGCGTTGCCCTCCCGCCTCCCCCCCCCCCCCCGGCGACATCATCTCACCCACCGCGGCCGCAATGGCTCTGACAGCCAGCTAACGAGCTGCAGGCAGCAATTTGGGTTATATATAGCCCCAAAGTGACTGCATCTAATTGCTCCGACACACACCGGCCACGCCGCGGGGTCCGGGTGATGGGCACAGGGGGCCGGGGCGGGTGGCACAGGCTCACCCCTCCCGTACACCCCGTGTGACTGACTCCCTAGGGCCCGTTGCGGTGCGAGCACTGCTGCATCCCATGCCAGCCCCAAGCAGCAGCGCTGCTCTCAACAGCTTTGTGCCGCACCATAAGCGGCTTTGCCTAAAGCCGCCGTCCCAACCCGTCCCAGCCAGGGACCCTAAGGAGCTTTTGTCCCCTCTCATTAATAGGTTTTGTCCGGGGTGGGTGGTGCAGCACCCAGCGCCCCTTTCCACATCCCGCAGGCTCCAACCAGCTGCTCCGGCATCCCCGGGAGAAA